GGCTAGTTTATATTCAGCCTTTCTATAGTAGACACCATTGGTTATCCAGAGGGCTGTATATGATCCAAGGGTGCCACAGAATACACTAAGACCTCCTCATGTACCCAGATGCTATATTGGGAATGAGAAAATGGAGAGAGGTAGAGAATCAGAGAAAGACTGCACATTTCCCCCAAAATACTGGGTCATCTACAGCAATGTTACTCCCATTGTGGTCCAAGGGCCAGAGCCAATGCACAAACTGTTACTGGTCTGAGATGAGACAAAGACAGGTGAGAGTTGATGTCTAGACATTTTTATTATAAATGGACATTGCCATGACATCCTAGTTTGTGATCAGTGGACTGTTCTTGTTGAGCAGGATACAGACCAGTTCAGGTGTGTTGAACTGGCATGGTGAGTTGTTGGTGGCACAAGCTGAATACTGGTCGTGCACAATAGGACTATGTGTTTGGTCCCCGATTAGAAAGATCAATCAATTTGACAAGCATTCCTCTAAAAGACTTTTTAAATTATCTCTTTTGGACGAGAAGCTCAAACTGTTTGATTCAGAGGTTCTCAAAATGTGGTCTGTGGACCAACAATATCAGCATCACCTGGGAACTTATTAGGAATGTAAATGCTAGGGTTCCACCCTAGATTTACTGAATCAGAAACCCTGGGGGTGGACTCAGTAATCTGTGTTTAACAAGCCCTCCAGGTGACTGTGATGCATGTTTATATTAATATTTAGGAACCATTGGTTTGAATGTTTAAAGTGAAATAAATTATGGTCAAGCTAGAGGAGAATGAAACACTATTAATTAAGTGTAAATTATCCTTCCTAAACTGCAGTGCTGGAGCCAATGAAGATCCGGCCAGGTAGAGTAGAAGAGAGAAAACTAAAGTTTCTTTGCATACTGTATTTGAATGATATGAAAGTTAATGAGGCCAAGATCGAAAGTTGAATACTTTTAGTAGGTGATCATTTTTTATTCCTCTACAAGTTTGCTGCTTGCGGCTCTACATTTCTAAGCATAACCCATTTCCCAGCACACATCAGCCTAGAAGTGGTAAAAACAGGGTCACAGTACTAGTAACAGAAGAGTATTTTATCTCGCTTTATTCTCACCACACAATTGCTGGATTTCTGGCTTTCCTCACATTCCCTACAACAACTACTATCCTCTTGGCTAATCTGTGCCATCCATCCTTCTCCCTCTCTGCCTGAGTGTCCTCCCTACCTAGTACACATTCTTCCCCAGTGCTTCTGCTCCTTCCCAGCTAAGGTGGATCTGGTTTCAGCTTAGAATCTGGCCAACCTGGGTATTAGCCATATTACAGTCAAGAAGAAATACTCTCTGCTCTCCATCTGCGCTACGTTATCTTACCAGGGGATGCCACTCAGGGATCATAGGCTCTTCTAAGCCAATCATTCTCAAACTCTAACATGTATACAAATCACTCAGGCCTCTTGTTAACGTGCAAATTCTGATTCAGCAAATCTAGGCTAGGCCTGAAGATCTGCATTTCTAGCAAGCTCCCATTTGAAGCCTATGCTGCCAGTTTGTGTACAATATTTTGAGAAGCAAGGTTGACAGCAGTGATTTTTCTACTTTTATCATGATTTCTACTTTTATCATGATTTTGAACATAGGGGAGTGGGTATAGTCTTAGCGTGAACAATTCTCCTGGTTTGACAGGGACTGTCCTGAAAATCCTGTATCTCAGGATACTCCTCAGTCATGGGCAAACCTGGATGAATGGTCATCCCAGCAACCTGAACAGCTCACAACTTGACCCCTCCCCTACCTCCTTCCTAACTGCCCCACCATGCCTCTTTTGGGTGGGGACTGGACTCTTTTTTCCTTAAGATAAATGTTTCCCTTGAGGCTTTTCCTTTCTGCTTCGTGCAATGTCCTCCCCTTTGACAGACCTGTATGCACCAGCCCTAAAGGCACAACTGTGTTTGCAGCCGTATATGTAGTTTGCTTAGTGTTAGGAAGAGCTGCCCACTTAAATCAGTTTGGAAGATTCCATGTAATGTTTCCCCACAATTGGTCAGGCCTACTTATGCTCTGTAGAAAGGCTGGGGCCATTATTTGACAGTTTGCTCTCATTTTTTCACATAAACACTCTCATCCTACCTGGTCTCTACTGACCAAGCGGGTTTCCCCAGTGCCTGGGAGTAATGCCCGTATGTGCTTTGCTTCTTCGGTGAGTAAGTGGCTACTATCTGGAATTAGAAGAAACCGAAATCTTCAACTGTGGAGCCTGACAAATACAGTGTGTTTTCCAGTATTTCTAATTGTCCTTTCTAAACTGAAGTCATACATGTTTTTAGGTGCAACCTCAGACCTTGCCAGCCTAGAAATATGGCTCCAATTACGTCCATCCACAGTTGAAAACCTTCGTTAGCACAGAATTTACATCAGAAAAATTTCCAAACTCACCTTAATACAAAGTCATTGTTCTCAAAACTACTATTCATTAGAATGACCTAGAGAGATTATTAAAAACACAGATTGCTGGGCCCCACCCTAAGTTTCAGATTAGTAGGTCTGGGTGGGGCCCAGGCTTTTGCATTGCTAACAAGTTCCCAGGTGGCACTCCAGGTCCACAAACCACACAGTGAGAACCACTGGCCTAGGGTACCCATTCCAACCAGTGACATATACATTGCTAACACCCAGTTCTAGTTCATGCTTCCGAAGAGAATCCCTTGTTCCCTGTTCATATTGTATGCCTTCCTACTCCAGGCCTTTGTTTTTTTCCCTTTATTCACTCATTCACTCAATCAATGATTTATTATTTCATCAGGCATTGTTTAAATACCACAGTGTCCGGCTCTGTCAAGTGCCATCATGAAGTTTAGGGTGTAAGGGAAAAAAGGAAAAAAAACTATCTTTTTCATTTAGAGTGCTTCATGGTTTCCAAAGGACTTCCACATGCAAGCTCCCATTTGGTCTTCTCCAGAGTCCTGAAAGACGGACAGGGCAGGGATGATTTTAACCTCTCAGAAGTGAAGAAACTGAAGGTCAGGGAGGGGAAGGAGTTCATCCAAGGTAATGTCAACCTGTCTTCCACCCAGGACAATGTTTTCCCACCCAATCACACTATAGTCATTCCTTCCCTTGGTAACCACAGGGAATTGGTTCCAGGACCCTCACAGTATACCAAAATTTAGGTATACTCAAGTCCCTCAGTCAGCCCTGTGAAGCCCACATATACAAAAAGTTGGTCCTCTCTATACTCGGGATTTGCACCCCAAGAATACTGTATTTTCCATCTGCTATAAGTAGACTTGCCCAGTTCAAACCTGTTGTTAAGGGTCAACTGGACTTCAGTCCTGGCCCATTGTACTTCCTTTCTCCCTGCTGTCATACCCTTTCGTTAAGCCATAAATCATACCCTTTCTTTAAGCCAAATCAAACACTACCTCTTCCATGAAAATTCCCTGGTGACCCCGGTTAAAATAATTTTTCCTGCTTATAAACTCTGACAATACTTTATTTTGTCTCTCTACTGGCTTTTTAAAAATGAGCTCCCTTTCTAGACACCAATCTTGTTGAAAATAGAATCAATTCGTTTTGTCTCCCCTACAGCACCCAGTTCTTAGTTTACAGTAGAATCTTTATAAAGTACTGAGAAATGAAGGAATGAAAGACGAAGAGATGAGAATTTCACCTCTTTTCTGAGTTTTATTCATAAGATAGTGAATAAAGAATATATTAGATCATTATTTCATATTTAATGAAATGTTTATTTCATACTTAACAAAATAAATCAAAAGTTTCATTTATTATATCTCAAACAAGAAGCAGTACAATCAAAGTATGTACCTAAACTATTGACACAATTTTGCCATCTTAATTTTAGCTTGTTTATGCCAGCAGCGAGGAAGCCTAGAGAGTCAGTGGATGAAATCTCAAAGGTGTTTTCCTCAGCTTGTTGAGAATTGAATATTTTTCCTTGCAAGAAGTGGTCCAAAGCCTGGAAAATGTGGTAGTCAGTAGGTGCAAAGTCTAGTGAATACGGTGGGTAACAGAGAGTTTCCAAGTCCAGCTGCTGCAGTTTGAGCAGTGTTGTTTGTGCGACATATGGTTGAACGTTGTCTTGCAAGAGGATTGGTCTGTCCCAATTGACCAATCTCTGCTGCTTAATCAGAAGCAACCTCATCATTTCATCCAATTGGTTGCAGTAGATGTCCACTGTAATCGACTGACCAGGTTTCATGAAACTATAGTGGATAATACCAGTGCTGGACCACCAAACAGACACCATTATATTTTTTTGATGAATGTTTGGTTTTGGACTGTGTTTCAGCACTTCATCTTTATCAAACCATTGTGCTGAATGTTTGCAATTGTCAAAAAGAATCCGTTTTTCATTACATTAAACAATACAATATAAAAATGGTTCGCCCTTATGTTGTGACAGTAAAGAAAAGCAAGCTTCAAGAGGGATTTCTCTTCTGATGCTTGTTTAATTCATGCAGAACCCATCTACCCAGCTTCTTTACCTTGCTGATTTGTTTCAAATGATCCAATATTATTGGAATAGGAAAATGGAACCTAGCTGCTAATTCCCATGTAGGTTGATATGGAGTTGCTTCCGCTACAGCTTTCAGCTCATCACTATCCACCTTGATCTCAGGTCACCCATATAGCTCATTTTCAAGATTAAAATCACAAGAATGGAACTTCTCAAACCATCAACAATACTTTGTGTTCATTAGCCACATCCTTCCCAAACACTTTGTGGATATTTCGAGCTGTCTGTGCTGCACTGGTTTCACAACAGAACTCATATTCAACAATAACAGGAGTTTTTAGCTTATCCATGGTTTCACAAAAATTGCTCTAAAAATTTTTTTGAAAGATAATCACAAGCCAAACCATGCTTTTGAAAGAATGAGGATGTAACTTTGCAATAAACATAAAACAAGAAGTGTCAAAGTGAATCGTCAGAGATATCAACTGTCAAACTTAGTACTTAAGGAAATTGGACATTTCATACTTACTAACCTAAATATTTGAAAATAAAAGTGGAGTTGTCTGTTAACTCTTTTCTTTCTATCTTCATAAATAGGGACGGGGAGGACTAGCATTAATTAAGTGCCTGTGGGATGCCAGTTGTTTTATGTTACGACATTTTTGCCCTCATAACCTAACAGATAAATCATAGATAAATCCTATTATTCCAGTTTTTAAGTGGAGGTACTAAAGCCCAGAACTGCTTAGAAATTTGCCAATTTTAGACACTGAAGGCATGTTAGAGGGGACCTCATCCAATTCCATTTAACCTCATGTGGCAAAAGGAGCACATGAAATTGCATCAAATTATACTATGACAATAAGAAACTGTCCAGTAGCTGCCTACATAAGAAAGTAAATCATATATATAACAATACTCTTGAGATCACCTTTCAGTAACATTGTTTCTCACCTCATTATTGCTTTTCATTGATTTACTACTTGCTGGTTGAATCCTTTGATCTGTTTTTTGAAGAGGGAAAAGGAATTTCACTATTGCCATACTCTTCTAGTTCTTCTGGTGACCATTTCTCACTGGTTGTGAAATGCTGGCTTGAGACTTAGATGGTAAATCCACCTTAAGGAGCGAGTGACAGTATGTCATAACATAACATGCCTGTTAGAAAAGAGAATGTAGAAAGTTTGGGGTAAATCCTAAATGGGGTGGGGGATAAACCCAGAAATGCCTTCAGAAATAAGGCTGAAAGGAATAATAACTTTACCAAAAATGGAACACTCATATGCTAAATAATGTGTTAAACATTTACTATATGATAGAGCTGAGAATGATTAGGGAGTTTAACCGAAGGACTTTGCCAGTGAATGTCAGATGGACTTGACAGAGGCAGTTACGAGGCTGACAGCAGCAGTGAAATGGTGCACTCACCTAAGAGGATTCACAGGAGGGTTCTGCAGCTCAACTCCTGCAAGAACGGAGGCCTGCAACATCCTGAAAAACAAACAGACACATCAAAGGTGATTGTTCTCACAAATGTACGAAATGTCAGTTTGTATCTTTTCCTCTTTTAGGTAGTACAGTATCCTACCTGGTGAACACTTTTCAGTTTAATCGGCAGGGGTTATTAAAAAGTTCTTATCATTTCATTAGCCATTAAGACAGCTAACCATAAATCTTGGTATTCTGATGCATTTTTTAAAAATACATATATATATATATTACAATTTTAATGAAACTATTTCAAGTAAGAGGAATCTCAACCAAAAGCTTCCAAATTTTGAATCTGCCAGGTGGAAAAAACTTTTAAAGCACATTTTCAGGCTCCCAGGGGAGGGGACTTTAATTCAGGGCAATCCCTTCGTAGCAAATGTTCTATTTCTTAAATAGCTTTCTATTGTTATTCAGTCTGTTCGATAAAAAGTCATGCATCTAGAGACAGGTGCAATTGGTAAAGGAAATAAACATTTTATCTAATCAGTACTGAAGATGTTAATGTAATATTGGTTTCAATGGGCAGTTTCAATCACTCATATAGTATGTTCAGACATGTGACAGAAGCAGGGAGCCTGAGCTTCTTGAAAGTAAAAAGCACATCAGTTATTTCAATTTTGTCACTGCTTCTGGGAAAGAATTCAGTAGCAACCCCTCAACCGATAACAGGTAGATTCTTAGAAACCTCTGTATTGGGGAATTCATTGTAAGGACTAATTAAGATCCACCCAGAGAAACCAAAAACTCATTGCTAATGGGTGTGCCTATCTGGGGAACAGCTGGAGGGAACTATCATTTTGCCTGGTCACCTAGGACTCTAAAACAATGAGGTTTGGTTGTGAAATAACAACAGAATAGCTTGTGGTTGCATATTTTCCAAGGACCAAATACTGACTAAATAACATTTTAACTCATATTTAATACTCACAATCACCTTATTAGATTGTTACTGTAACTATCCTCCTTTTATAGGGTAAACTTGGAAACTCAGAGAAACAAAAGGACAGTAAGGTCACACACCTAATAAGTCCAAGGTCACACACCTAATAAGTCCAAGGTCACACACCTAATAAGTGGTGACACAGGCAGTCTAGCTTCTGAGCCCATGTTCTTACCCAATATACTCTACTGCTTTTTACATATAGATAATATATTTTTCAAACTATATATTTTATACATAGATATTTTTCAATGTGCGTTTCAACATAAGAAACACACATTACAAAAATTTGAGAAAATGAGAAAAAAGAACTATTATGCTACTAACCTCACATAATTGCTGTTAGTCTTTTGGGATATTTGCTTTTAATTATATTTATATATATATATTTTTCCATTCACTATAGTTCTGATTTTGATTTTTTCTCTTCACATTATATCGCAAGTATTCCCCATGTTGCTAAAGTGTTCAGAATGTTCACATTTAATACCTGAAAAATATTACATAAACCGGATATACTGTACTTATTTAGAAAGTCTCTAGTGTTAGTTATTTAGGTTGCTTCCAAAAGCCTAAAACAGGTTCAAGTACATGTAGAACCAGACAGCCTGGTTAAAATCCTTGCTATATAATCTTGCACAAGTTACTTGACCTCTCAATGTTTCAGTTTTCTCATCTGTAGAATGAGGATAGTAATAATAACTACCTCCTTGGATTGTTGTGAGGATTAACTATATTAATTGAAATAGATCACTTAAAACATTGTCCACAGACACTTATTATCATAAATAAGTCTATGGTCTGTAGTCAGTATTTTTATAAATGAGTCAATGTATATTTTAAAAATTACTTACTTTTTTTTTCTTTTTATTTTGAGCCAGAGTTTCGCTCTGTGGCCCGGGCTAGAGTGCCATGGAGTAAACCTAGCTCACAGCAAACTCAAACTCCTGGGCTGAAGCAATCTTGTCAGAAGTGATCCTCCTGCCTCAGCCTCCACAGTAGCTGTGACCACAGGCGCGCACCACCATGCCCCACTAATTTTTTCTATTTTTAGTTGCCCAGCTAATTTCTTTAGAGATAGGGGTCTTGCTCTTACTGAGGCTGGTCTCAAACTCCTGACCTCAATCAATCCTCTTGTCTCGGCCTCCCAGAATGCTAGGATTATAGGTGTGAGCCACTGCACCTGGCCCCAAAAATAACTTTCTTATGGCACAGTCCCAGAGATAAGATTACTGCATCAAAAAATATAAATCCTTTTTGTTCAAATAATTTATTCATGTTTGCCAAAATATTTCCAAAAAGTGTTACATAGATTTATATATCACCAGTGATGTAAGAAGAAACCATTTTTCAAAGCACCCTTTTTGAGTTCATTAGATATTTACATTAATATTTTCTATTGCTATCATTTTCAATTTATAAATATGTTCTTCAACTGTTTCTAATCTGCTCTGGTATCCATCTATTAAGCTTTAATTTCCATCAGCTTATTTCTCAGTTCTGGAATTTCTATTTGATTGTTCATCATAGTTACCTGCTGCAATTTTCTATCTTCTCATCTAATTTTTTAACTTATCAATCATAGGTATTTTAAAGTCTGTTACTCCTATATCTGAATCTCCTGTAGCTCTGTTTTCAGTCATTTTGTTTTCTGGCATGCCTGGTAATTATATTGAATGCTAGACATTGCATTTAAAAAACTGTGAAGGTAGCTGCAGCCTCTGGAAGATCATATCTTCATCAGGTGATACTTTACTTTAGCTTCTGACAGGTGGTTAGGTGAAATTTCTCTTGAATTCCTTGCTCTCAGGACCTCTCCACTGCCTTTAAACAAATGTTTGCTAGGTTTTATCCAGCTTTTACTTCCTTTTTGTTCAAAATAAAAACAGGGTGTCACTATGTTGCCCAGACTGAAGTGCAGTAGTCACAGGCACAATCATTGGACACTACAGCCTCTAACTCCCGGGCTCAAGTGATCCTCCTGCTTCAGCCTCCTGAGTAGCTAGGACTATGGGCAAGCACCACCACACCCAGCTATCCAGATTTTCTACTTGACCTTGGAGAGTGTATTGATCTAAATGTAAGAGCTGGGAGTGTAAGTCCTTGACATTAATTTAAAATAATTGATTAAACCTAAATATAATTTATTTTTGTTTTAGTGTATATTCATTTGATTATTATTAAGGCTAGATGTTTTTATGTGTTTGCAAATGTGTTGTATTTCATCTTTTGTTAAATGCGATTCTATTCTCATTTCATGTATTGGTTAAATGTGATTCTATTGTTATTTCATATGTGGGTTGGGTGTTATTATGAGTTTGTATGAGTACCTGTGAAATAATCATATTAACTCTCTCTGTTAGTAAGTTCAAATAATTGCATCTAGGCTACTGTTTGCTTGTTATATTGTTGTTTAATATAGTCAAATCTATTTTATTGTTCACTTTGCAATTTGTTACAATAAAATAAAATCCCTTTAGACTTCCTATGGTTTAAGTTTTGTTATTTATTATGTATATAATGAGTGTAAAAGTTAATTTTTTCCCCAAACTATTACTCAGTCCCTATACTGCAAAATGTTATTTCTCTTCATTTTTGTGCTCCTGCCATTATCAAATATTTCATTTTATATATAATATATTTTGACCACATATTTTGTCTCATTATTCTACTATTTTGGTGACAGTATAATGTGGCTTTAATTATTGTAACTTTATAATATATTTTGATATTTGATAAGACTGGTCTCTCCTCATTACTCTTCTTTCTCAAAACTGAATTTTGTTATTCTGGCCTACTTTTTCTTCCAGATTTATTTTTTTATTTTTTTTTATTTATTTTTTCTTTTTTTTTACTGACAAGTCTTGCTTCTAATAGATTTATTTTAAAATCGAGTTCCCCTCATGAGTATCTCAAAATATAAAAAACAAAAGAGACTGTTATTAGATTTCTGTTAAACTTATATTTTGAAAAGAACTAACAATGTAAAGATATTATATTTTAAACTTGAAAGCAGTCTTTTGATTAAGATTTTTATAGCTCTCAAAAAGTTTGTTTAGCTAGGTCATTTTTCTGGTTAAAGTCAATCATATAGCTTTATATATTGTGTTGCTCTTGTAAAATGAATCTCTTTTAAAAGTTTATGTTTTAGTTAATGGTTGGTGATATTTAGAAACACTGTTGATTTATGTTAATATTTATGTGTCTTCTAATTTTACTAATTTATTATGTTCATTCATGCTTTCAGTGACTCTTTTGGGTTTTCAAACTATAAAAATATTTTTCTAATATAATGTTGATAATGTTGTGTTTTTTTTTTAAATTCTTGCTATCTTTTTTTTTTTTTTTTCTTTAAGACAGTCTCACTCTGTGGCCCAGGCTGATCAAGTGCAGCAGCATGATCATAGCTCACTGCTGCCTCAAACTCTTGGACTCAAGCAATTCTCCTGCCTCAGCCTCCCAAGTAGCTGTGATTACAGTAGATATATACCACCATGTTTGGCTTTTTCCCATTCTTCATAGCTCTTCTTTTTTTAGTATATTATGTTAATCCGGGTTTTTAAAATACTATTAAATAACATTATTAAGGCAGAACCATTATAGCACCTTTCATCCTACCCTGTTTTTAAATATGTATATTTTTAGTACTTGACATTGTTAATGTTGATAAGTATAAAATATTTACTACCATGTTGAACAAATATCTTATTTTTTCTATTTTTACCATTTTATCAGGAACAGTTATTATATTTTATCTAGTATTTTTAAAAACAACCTATTAAATTAGTAATTTACTTTTTGAGGTATCTCACCTACTAACATTAAGTAATTCATTTGTATAGTTCCTAATTTTGTAAGCGTTTGTACTGCTTGGATACACATGGTTTTGCTTTGGTGAGTTCTAGATTAAAAAACAGAATGTACAAATTATTTTTCATTTAAAGTTATTCAATACATAATATTTGAGTACTATTATTCCTCCAGTAGCATTACACTACTAATGATTATAAAATAGTCCCTTTCGTTATGTTTACTGTTTTTTGACACAAAATTCCTTGTT